AAATGCAGGCCATATTTTAGAAATGACAGGCAAAAACAAATTTGAACTGCCAAGGCCAAGTCAAAAAAAATGGCGGATGAAATTCTATAGATACATTTCATCTCATTTGCTTACCACAACTCATATATACTGGACATTTAGTTGACTAAATACGTTTATATTTGAAATGTAAATCCAAGTTTACTGTAGTAAAATAGACAAGTTTAAAAACAATAAAAATGCATATCATGAAAACAATGATTTTTACAATATGACTCGTTATAAGACATCGCCATTTTGGCAGTTCAATGAATAAAAATGGCAGGCTAAAATTTATTTCACCTGCCAAAAAATTTTAGACTGGCAGGCCATATTCTTTCTCTACATTGAAAGCCCTGACCCATGGGTATATACGAAGCCACGCGTTGCGCTCACACCCCTGATGAAGACGGAAGAGGTTAGAGGTTATTTCGCTGGCCTCAGAGTGACAAAACGTAACAAAGCAACGGTTTTACTAACACTAACCCTATTCCAAACACTAACCCTAGCTACTCCAAGTTTGTTTCTAAAACCAATCTTGAAGAAAAAGGTTTTGACGAAATGTCATTCTGCGGTCAGCGAACTTTCCCGATGAAGACGCCAGACTGGAGTGTCGTCATATGTGACGTCAAACTACTTAACCGATGACGCAAAATATTGCCATATCCGGCGTTCGGGTGATCTGAATTTTTCCTATGAATATTATTTTTTTATTTGCCCATATAAAGCTAAATATATTTACAATCTATATTTTTACAAACATTAGGGGCTAGGAACCTTTATGAAACCCTATCAGGCTTTTATTCAAAGGCCCCTAGTTTAACAATATTAATTATTATATAAAAATAGTTAAAGCTTGTTCAATCTTGTCAAAGACAAAGTAAGAGTATTTACAAATATAGTGATTTGAATATAAATATACACAAGAGTTTATTATGTGAGATTACAAATGAAAGCCGTTAGGTATATTCCAAGAAAAGGCTTTTCAATTTTTTCTTAAAAGTAGAATAAAACATAGTATTGCTAGTTCCTTTATCAAGAGAGTTCCATATTTTAACTCCCTTGTTAACAATAGTATGTTTTGCATAATTAGTTCTACTATAATTGACATGCAATTTGTTAGAATTCCGAGTATTGTAATGATGCACTTCATTGTTTTGTATGAAGTAGCCATTAAAAAATTCAGGTAGATTTTGTAAATGTTTAAAACGGTACATAAATAAACAACTTAAATAGTCATTAATCTTAAAGATATTCAAGATTTTCAATTTTTGAAACAATGGTTCAGTGTGTTCAAGATAAGATTTAAAGTTCATCAATCTGATAATTTTTTTCTGTAAATTCAGTATTTTTAGCAGCCTTGTTGGGTACGTGTTACCCATATTAAATTCCCATAAGTAAGATATGGATAAACTAATGCATGATAAAGTACATTTAATGTATTTTTGTTTGTATAATGTCGTATTTTTGCAATCAACGCCGATGCTTTAATAATATTTTTGACAACTGAGTTTATATGGTTTTTCCATGTTAGTTCTTGATCTATTATTACACCTAGAAATTTGACAGCAGTAGCCTGATGTATAATGTTATTGTTAAGTTGAATATTAGTATCAGTGTCACATTTTTTATTTTTTGATTTAAAAATGACGTACTTAGTTTTTTTAGTATTTATTGATAATTTATTGGCGTTTAGCCATTTAGTCACTTCATTCATTTCTTTTTGCATAACATGCATTAAAGATTTGAGGCATTTGTCAGAGTAAAACGCATTTGTGTCATCGGCATACATAACAAAAGAAATTATTTCACTACAGTTCTCAATGTCGTTAATATATAATAGAAAAAGTAGAGGCCCAAGAATCGAGCCTTGCGGAACTCCTGAAGATATTGTCATCTTACTTGACTTATGATCACAAAACTTAAGAATTTGCGTTCTTTCATGTAAGTAGTTTTCAAACCATTTTAAACAATTTCCTCTTATACCATAATGTTCTAGTTTTTTTAGAAGAATTTTATGGTTAACTGTGTCAAAAGCCTTAGATAGATCAAGGAAAATACCGATTGTGTATTTTCCTTCATCTATGGCCTTTGAGATTTTGTCAGTCAATTCAATAATAGCATGTTCAGTGGAGCGATTTTTCCTGAAACCATACTGGTGTTTAGATAAAATGTTTTGTTTTTCAATATATGAAATCAGTCTTTTGTACATTACTTTTTCAAGCAATTTCGAAAAACATGTGAGAACTGAAATTGGCCTATAATTTTCAAATAGACATTTTTCATTTGCTTTATAAATAGGAGTAACAAGAGCTATTTTTAGTGTATTCGGTATTAATCCAGTTTCAAAAGTTAAATTGAAAATATGTGCAAGAGGTTTGCAAATCTCTTGTTTAATTGCTTTTACCATTTTGGCACTGATATTATCATGACCTGCACTTTTAGTTACATTTAAGTTATCAATCTCAGTCAAGATTTCATATTCTGTAACAGGTTCAGTAAACATACTTTCTCGATAGTTACCTTTGAGATAATTTTCAAATGGTATTATGTCATTTTGTTGAATACCTTTGGCTAAATTCGGTCCAACGTTTACAAAATATTCGTTGAATTTGTTTGCAATCTCAATTGGGTCAGAATAATTAATATTTGAGTTCTTTTCTCTAAACGTATCAGGAAGCGCTTCCTTCTTTTTATTGTTTCGATTTAATATTTGATTAATGGTCTGCCATGTCATTTTGCCATTGTTTTTGTATTTAATAAACTGACTCTCAAAATAATCTTTTTTAGTTATTTTAATTAAATGTTTTAATTTATTTTTGTATTTTTTATACGTGGTTTCGCTCTTAACACTTGGGTTTTTAAGATACTTTTTATAAAGTTTGTTTTTAATTTCTATAGATTTAGAAATACCTTGAGTCATCCAGGGACTTTTGTCATAGTCAACAGTTCGTTTTTGCCTGTTTACCAAAGGAAAGCTCTTTTCAAACGCTTGTAATAGGTTATTATGAAATATGTTGTATGCTTTGCAAGGGTCATTGTTTTCAATAATGTTATCCCATGACATCAGTTTCATGGTATTTGAAAATGATAGAAGATTGTTATTGTTTATTATTCTTCGAAGTTGCGAAGTTTTGCCTTCAGAATTATATATTTTCCTAGCTAAAGATGTAATATGAAAAATGGGAAGATGATCTGAAATATCAGTAAAAATTAATCCATTCTTACTGCTTTCAATTTGTTCAATGTCATTGGTGAAAATATTGTCAATTAATGTTGCGGTGTGTTCCGTTATCCTCGTAGGCCTAGTTATAAGAGGGAGAAATGATGATGTAAAAAGTTGCTCAAAAGTTGCTCACTTGCTATGATCGCACTGTTCTCCTTGTCAACCAGTGGCAGTCTCCTTGTCATCACTGACATACTTGTTTTTCCGATTTGTTGTGCATACGAGAATTCCATAGAAATAATAGACATCTAGACATAGAGATCTAATATTTCTATGGAGAATTCCCATATAGACCGAACGCGATTCGACAACGCGACTGGAATTTTCAGTTATTAAAAACAAATAAAACCGTCAACGGATAAAAATTATACAAGATATGCAGACCAAATAACTAAAATTGCTTAAGTGATTCCGAATAGTTGAAAAAACATGGAAAAATATTAAATTTAAATGTCATTGAAAAATGAAAATTCGCGTCGCGTTGTCCAGACCTAAACACACCTGAGGTGATTGGCAACGCGACGCGATTTTTCAGTTTTTGAACGTTCTACCGCAAATAAAACAATCTTTTCAAAAGATACAGTTGCTTGTCAAACGTTAATTTGAATACAAGCCCGAAAAGTTCGATATTTTGCAAAATTCCATTGCAGTTTTATACTCCTTTTCGGCTTTTCCAATATTGGAAATAAGTTGTTACATATTCAAGTATCCAGTTAGTTTAATAATTGGTTTCATAATTACTGTAAGGCCCGTTTCATACGCCGTACTTCACATGTGCCGAATGCATTAAAGACAATAGATGAGCTGAAATGCCTCATTACCTATTGTTTTTAATGTATTCGGCACATGTGAAATACGGCGTATGAAACGGGCCTAAAGCCTGCCGCACACGAGAGCTATCTGCTCAGCAAAAAGTTACTCGTGCCTGTTAGCTCAGCCGATAGCTCACCGTGTGCGGGTACATTTTACTGAGTTTTTTGCCTCATGCAACCTTTTCTCACGTATCAAACATGCTTGATCGGTGAGCTATCAGCTGAGCTAACAGGCACGAGTAACTTTTGGCTCAGCAGATAGCTCTCGTGTGCGGCAGGCTTAAGCTATTTTAATTAAACAAAATGTATCGAATAATAAAATCCATGTGCTTTTAGAACCTTCTTTCTCGTTTTGGGACGGATTATAAACCAAGATTGGCAGATACCCACAGCATATTTTTAATATTATCTCGTACGTTTTGTTTAAAATAGCTTAAACGAAACCATGCTAACTAGTTATTAAACTAAACAGTAAATGCACAGTTGAGAATGTAAACAATGACAATGTATTGCAGTATTGGACAAGTCGGTAACGGAATTTTGCAAAATGTTAAACTTTTTGGGAGTGTATTCAATTTTTTTGCAAGTAAAGCTCAAAAAAGGTCAAAATGTATCGTTTCCAAACGTTTTGAAAAATCTTAAATCGTGATTTGGGCACAATTACAATTAGACTTTAGCCTGTCTGAATCTGTCTTCTACTTCTGAATCGTGCTGCAAGGCAGAGTGTCGCAAATAAAACATCATTTTTTGCCGCAAATTACGTCACCGCATCTCTTTGTTTCGCGAGTACTAGCGTGGAAAAATGCCAATGGCTTTTTCTTTGTGAAAAACAGGCCGATAAAATGCACTATAAAATCTCCTCCTTGCGAACTCTTCCAAGCGTGCACAGCCTCATATATCACTTGTCATCGATCTTGTGTGCCTGTCCCAACTCACTGACTGCCCACGCACTTGAGAGTTCAGAAAAACGTCACATGTGCCAAGCCATATGTATTCAAACCACGGAAGTCAACGCTGAGAACGCATTCAAAACAAGGAGGCCTATACAAGAGTCTTGAAAGCGTTCGCTGTATATCTAAAGCTGTACAGAAAACTCCCTCTACAAGAATGGTAAGTTGAGCCTTACTTTACTTACAGTAGTTCGTTGTCGAATACGAAATGCATCACCATGTTGGCATGTAGACTTATTTTAATTGAGTTCTGTTGAACAGCTTTAATATTATACATTTAATACAATTGCACGAAATTGCGAAATTATAGATGTTTGATATCCGCTAGCTTAGTCGTCGCTTCGTACTAGCAGCCCTTAATTTCTGAGTATTATGAGCATTTAATATAGCTATTGTATAAACTAGACGAGTATTTAACAAAAACGTTCTGAGTGAATGCCCTTGACATTTAGCCCAATTTGATTAATTAAACTGCAAGATTAAATTGACTTATCTTTGTAGTAATATAGAACGGCGTCAATACGAAACTAGACGATTTCGAAACGGGAATTTATTCTGGGCATCACTTTCATGGACAACAGTTTCACCCGCGTATAAAACTCGAAAGGCAATTTCATGCTATAAATTTGAGCTAGTTTTCTAAATCTGTAAACACGATTACATTGTTTATACTTACACAAAACATTCCACGCATTCCATCTCGTTATATTGTTCAGATATAGATATATATATTTTACATGTTTTATTATATTTGAGAGGATTTAAAAATTTAACTTAACTTGTTGGACTGTACGGCTGTACCAAAGACTGTACTGTTACACATAAGATTACATGAAGTTTTGAACATTCACACTAATTGAAACTTCATGTAAAGTGTGGTTATTGATACTGTAACTGTTGAAATATGCGCTTTAGTAGGGTAATTAAATTTTGAACCTGTGAACGGGCACTGCGCGCTACGCAGGCCAAATAGTTTTTTTCACTTTTTTTTCTATTTTTTTAGACCGCATCAAAAGGTTAGTATCTGCCAGTGATGATATAACACGAACGCTGCGAATATCGTCAGGTCTAGATTAGGGTTAGAATTAGTTAGTGTTCAAATACGGCCAGATCGACCATATTGTTGAATGGGACACAAAACGTTTGGACTTCGGACCTATCTGACCGAGAAATTTAGACAAAATTAGAATGAGGTCTATTTTTGCTAGATATTTGAGAAACATAGACCAGATCTTTCCATGATGCAGAGACAAAAATTCGGGTCTGACCGGTCAGGCCATTAAATGGAAAGCGCCCATATATCTTAATTTGAGCGCTTTTACTAACAATTCAGACATAGCTTTAATTTTGGGAAGTGATCAGGCTGTCCTAAATCCCTAATCTGGGCTGACTCGTCCCCAATCGTCTCCGTTTCGGTGAAAGATGGAATGTTCCATTCAACTCGGCTGTCGCCTCGTTGAATGGAACATTCCATCTTTCACCTCATGAAAATATTCTTACCATTGCACGAAATAAAAAACATTCATTATTTGTATAATGATCAACCAATCACAAAGCCCGTTCATATAGGTTGATGGCGACTCAAATTGCTTTAAATGTTACTTCAAAAACTTGACGTAAAAACTGACGTACATTCCTCATATTTTCTGTAGAAGTTCAAGAAGCTTTCGACTTATTTGACAAGAACAGAGATGGCACGATCTCGGTCAAAGAACTTCGTGAAGCTATGAATCAAGCTGGTCACGATGCAACGGAAGAGATGGTTAAAAACATGTTGAAATCTCACGACAAAGATGGTACGCTAGCCATGTATACTGTGCATATGTTTGTTTATTCGTTGGTCTGCCTTTCTGTTTGTCTGCCTTTCTATCCGTTTGTTTATTATATGTCAGAAACAGCTAAGGCCGCGGGGGGTTGCGCTGTGCCGGGGGAAAATATTCCCAGAGGGCCCTATGACGTCACATTTGTGACGATATTTTGCAATATAAGACACTTTATTACATATTATCCGGTACTGACTCGGCTATAATATTTATATCAGCAGGGCAGTAGTTACTGGGGGGTGTGAGGTGTTAGTCAAACCCTCCCCCCCTCATTAATTGTGGATAACATATTTCAGGTAGATGTCAGATGTGTTTGATTGAAATTCAAGTAACATTCGTGTAATCAGGGCCTCGCTAAAATATTTGAGAAAATTAAAGATATTATATATGCGGAAAAAATGTCTTGAAAAATTTTTTATATTAACTAGTGGTTGAAAATTAATTAGTGGTTCAAAATTTAGATATTTTCAGGTAAAATACTTAACGAGTCATATATCGGGTAGATTTTTGTCTCGTCAATACTACCCCCAAAGCTATTAAATTCTGCTCGACATTTTAGAAAATGGCGTGCTGTCTATAGACGAATTCGAGGCATTTCTCAAAAAAGACAATTCCGTGAATTATGCTGAACTGAGAGAAGCCTTTGATTTGTTCGACATCAACGGGAATGGGTATATCAGCAAGGATGAGTTAATTCAGGCAATGAAAAAAATGGGCGAAAATCTTAGCGATAAAGAAATCGGAACAATGATACGCAAAGCTGATATAAATAAAGACGGACAAGTTAGTTTCGAAGGTGAGAGATATTTGTGCAACATTTGATCAATAAAATCATTTTCCTGAAAAATACCGTGAGATTTGCAAGTCCAGCCGTGAGACTTGGCAGCCCTGTATTACTTGTATTATAATAACATCCCATATTTTAATTTTTATAGAGTTTAAAAGAATGATGGCACCAAAGTAACAATACCACAATAGTTTCCAAAATGACAGCACGAGAATTCTAGGGGATATACGTATATTAGACATTCTTCCGATCCGAAAATGAAAACGAGGTCGAATTTTGTTTGCCGGCAATTTGTTTTTGTTGAAAATAATATCTAGTTGCACTGAGGAATCAAAATCCGATATTGCCTTCATTTTTGGATTTAAAGTTGTATTCAATTTTTCCAGTCGTTTGCGAGTTATTGAATTACATCGTTTAGTACACATTTGAATGAAAATAAATTCACCATGGCATAGTCGACATAGTCCATGCTTGTACAGTTTTACTTTTAATTCCTTAAAGTTCATTTATTTCTTCGTTTGAATATAAAAGAAAAGGCTATACTGAGTACTGTTGTTTAAATTTAATTTAGTTATAATTTAGTTGTAAGATTATATTTGGGCCTCCTTCATGCTTCGAGCTTAAAGCAAGGGACATTTTTGTCACCGCGAACAGGAACGTCGCTGCAGGGGTGGGGGTGGGGGGGAACACCCCCCCCCCCCATAATTCAAAACGTTTGTCAAAGTTGGTCAAAATGGAAGTAATATTTGCTTAAAATTGAAGGTCAAAGTTGGTAAAATTTGGTCAAAGTTATGAAATCGTTCGCAATTTTAACAATTTCTAAGCTTTGATGTTTGCATGTTTGCGCTGAAACAATTGCAAGCCCTGCTTGTTTTAGTTGCTTACATTTCTACTACTTGCATGGTCAAAATTCTAGGAAAAGTTGGTCAAAACATGACGACACCCCCCCCCCCCCCAATGTTGATGTCTTCACGACGTCCCTGACCACGAACCGCGTCAGTTTCTAAGGGGGGACTCGTCAGTTTGTGGTAATCGTCAACACGTATGACAAAACATAAGAGTTTTCAGGGACCCTGGGGTTGATACCGAAGAGAAGCGAAAAACAGAGTAAATTTTTTGTTTACTCAACCTTAACAATGGTCAAAATAATGTTTACCCAACCCACGTGTTACTGTACTTCATAATAATTAAACACACAAGATCATGGTGACAGAAATCAAGTTGCCTAAATTCTAAAAGCTCACACTCAAACTCATGCACTGAGTGTGCCATTAAGCAATCACGTTCCTGCTGATCAATGATAGAGCCCTTCCTCAATCTCTGATTGTCTATTTTGGTACAGAATGTATTGTACACATTTTTCTTCATATTTTCCACTGCATGGTAATTTTGGTTTTATTTTATAGCGACAGCCATAAATTTTTTTACCCAACCCATGAGCCAGTCAAAAACTTGATTACCCAACCCATATCTCTTCGGTACCAACCCTGGGTATAAATAATGAACTGTCCCTAAAGTTTCTTTTGCCTCGTTACAAGAGCCCTCTGTCTATGATGCAAAACGCCGCCAAAATTAGTTATATCAATTTATTGGTGACGTCCCCGTGCCTGACAATAACGTCCCTTGCTCTATGAAAAACATTTCACAAGAGAACAAATTTATTTATTTACATAAAACGTTCACAAACTACATAAAAAGACCATGGGTCACAGCGTGCCTTCGTAAATCAACTTTCCTATAAAAAGCTCTGGAACATATCGTACAGACGAACGGTTTGTGTCCAGTATGTTTTCTGCTGTGAGTGATGAGATTTGACGATTGACTGAACGCCTTGCCACATTCTTGGCAAACGTGAGGTTTCTCACCGGTGTGAATGTACGTATGTTTTTTCATGTCACTTTTTTGATGAAACCGCTTGCCACAATATTCGCAGGGAAACGGGCGCGTATCCGAATGTATGAGCATATGGGTGGAAAGCGTCGATGAACGCTTGAACGTTTTATTGCATTGTTTACATTCGAAAACCTTCTCATTTGTGTGGATGGCTTTATGCTGTTCCAAGCTAACAGAGTGCCCGAATGATTTTTCGCATAAATCACATTCGTAGGGTCTTTTCCCCGAGTGTGATCTTCGTACATGGACCTCTAGCCCATGCGGCGTACCAAAAACCTTTTTACACTTGACACATCCATATGTTTCCACTTCGTCACTTCCTTTTTCTTTAGTTTCGCCAGATTTCCTTCCATCTTCTCCAGAACTGTCATTGGTCAAACCATCTCGAAACGTCATGTTAGATGCTGCGAACGCACCCTGCCCGTGATGCCATCTGTTTCCAAAAGGCGGGCGCTGAAGGACCAAGTCTGAAGGGGGACATAGGATCATGGGGAAGCGAGGGTACATTGGTGTGTAAATTGGTAGAGTGTTAGGATAATGCGGGCCAATGTAGGGTGGTTTGTGAAAGTTTCTGCAAGGTCTGGGGTACGGAATAAATCCTGGAAAAATATTATATTGCATTCAACGAAAATTTTGAATCAGATCTTAAATAATGTTTATTGATACATCGACTCTAATCCTTCCGAAGTCCAAAAGGTTCTCGCTAAAAGGTCCTTAGTACCTTACTAAAAGGACCTTACTAAAAGGTCCAGTATCACTACAAGAGCAAACCTAAACTAAAGCTCGGATTAGCTATGAGCCAAACGACGTATATAGCTACAAGTCTCAACGGTTCTTAACGGTTAGATTTTCGTGGGAAAATTTTAAAACAGGATGACTTCGAATTCAAAAAAAGTTAAGTCGACTGTATAGTTTCCTTGAAACTTCTCTCAGGATGCAGGAAATAGCGTTTGTAATTGTAAGCTGATCAGAAAATGAAAATATTTTCAGGGGTAGCGGATTTTCAGTTTCTATAGAGGATTTTCGAGGCTTCAACACTCGACTCGGTAAAACGAAAAACCTGGTTACGATCCTGACTAGTCAAGCATACAAAATACACAAATATTTACCATTGTGATAACAGATAGCAGGCTGGGTTGCAGGTATGTTTACTTGATTCACATGAACGTTTTCACATGGGTGCTCTTGCTTTATTTCTGTAGGTATTTCTTTGTCATGGGGTTGAATTAAATTTTCGATATCAAAAGGTCTCTTGTTGAGGTTTTCTGTTCGCTGTTCACTGCTTACTGTTTCATTTTCTGAAACGGTAAAGTTTTCTGATCAGTTCTATCAGTTCTTCTCTGAGGTCCAGAAACGATCAAAATGTATTGAATTTAGAGGTTCAGTATTACTACATGCAGAAGGAGACCTAAACTAAGTCTAAGGGGTCAGGCTGGCCCGATCTGACCGGGATGATTTGTTTAATAAACCTCTCAACACGGCTTTGATAAACAGCCAAAATGATTTTCCAAAGTTGAATTAGTTTAGTTTGATTCCAGTAACAATATAAAGTTCATTCAAACGATATTTTATGGTCAGGAAAAGAATTTCGTGACACGATTCATCCTGGCTACCCCATGCAGCACATAACAAACAGCATATAACAAACTTTATTTATACTGGGCAGCTCTATCATTGCAATTATAAAGATCAATTTTTTATCCAGTGTTCCTACAGGAGGCAACCTAATAGACTAGATATACTTTATTTACGATGAATAGCTTTATCAAAAACTAATTATATAATAGACTGTTCTGCATACAGGCCGATGCAGTAAAGGTCATCCTTTTGTGCTCCAGTGCCGGCGTTACTATACAGGAAGAAACCTATACTTAACTGACTTCATTTATACTGGATAACTCTATCAGTTCTAAACTGTTCTTCCTAGTGGTCCAGTAAGGATCATTACTGGATAGTTCTATCAGTTCTAAACTGTTCTTCCTAGTGGTCCAGTAAGGATCATCTCTTATTGATCCAGTGTTGCTACAGGAGGAAACCTAAACTAAACTAACTTTATTACTGGATAGTTCTATCAGTTCTAAACTGTTCTTCCTAGAGGTCCAGTAAGGATCATCTCTTATTGATCCAGTGTTGCTACAGGAGGAAACCTAAACTAAACTAACTTAATTTATACTGGATAGCTCTATCAGTTCTAAACTGTTCTTCCTAGAGGTCCAGTAAGGACCATCTCTATTGATCCAGTCATGCTACTACAGGAGGAAACCTAAACTAAACTAACTTTATTTATACTGGACAGCTCTATCAGTTCTAAACTGTTCTTCCTAGAGGTCCAATAAGGATCATCTCTTATTGATCCAGTGTTGCTACAGGAAGAAACCTAAACTTATATAACTATAACTTCATTTATACTGGCTAACTCTATCAGTTCTAAACTGTTCTGCCTTTAGAGCTACAATCTTGGACATAGAGCCCTTGAAACCGTGACAGTAAATAATGCAAAGTTAATGCATATTGACAAAACAAACTTCGTCACCCCTCTCCCAGCGCCGAAACAACTTTTGGTAAATTTATCATGATACAAGCTCAACATTGAGTTGAGGGAGTGGGGGCTTAAGAATGAACATTGTTCAACATGGAATACGTTTGTACAGAAGGAAAGGCATGGTCTCAACCAGTTATGCCCAGCATAATTATGTATAAAGATATATAGGTTTCCTGCTACAATAGCATTGAACCGAATTGGAACGGCAAGGAATGTCACAATTTAGAACAGTTTTGAGAGGCTGCATATATATAAAGTTGAATTATGCACGTTTTACTGTTCAAATGCAAACGTGACACACGTGTCATGTCTTTTATACTATGCGATAAATTTTCTCCTGTCTAAGTTTTTCAAAGTTAGGATAGCCACCTGAAGGAACCTTTATACTCCGATCAATGTGTCTTTGTCTCGCCAAACTATAGTGTACTGTTTCCTATCACACGTGCGTTCAGTACAATGTCTCAGAACTTAATAATTGACAATAAAACTATATAAAGGTTTATATAATAACTGATATTATAAACGCCGTTGGCATTTCATATCGACGCCTGTCACTTATTAAAAGATTAATTGAGATAGGTCAGACTGAAGGTAAATTATGCTGCTAGACGAGTTAATTACAGTGCTCTTGTGAATTTTTTTGATCAGTTTTAAGTTGTATGCTTGACATAGGTGAACAATGATCAACAATGATAATCCATTTATACTAAAGCTGGATTATCCGTCTACACAAACTTGAGCAACGGGAGATAGTGGTTAGGTTTTTCACTGAAATCCAGAGGCACCCGCGAGTATTTTTACCCTGCTGTTATAATTGGATTATAATCATGGCTGCTCATTGATGCATGCGGTGCACAGGACTACGATTGTAAGCGCGGATCAAAGTTGAATGAAAGTGCGTGAGAATTGGCAGTCACGTGGCCTTGCTCAGCTCTCCCATCACGTATTCCATTGAAGTTGAAAACATTCATCAAACATTTATTTTGTTGACCAATTATGAGCTTGTGATAGCCTATCACGGTTACCACGAAATCCTTTGTCCCGCGAGATGCGATTGACTAATTTACTTCATTGCTATAAAACAGGAGGGACGACTAGTAAACCTTTTGCTAAACCTCTCTCGGCTTTCGGCCTTCGGGTACATTTTAATCACTAATCGATCCGAATACCATGCTACTTATCAAAATTTGTCCAGTATCAATGCGTGACTGCCAATTAACTCATGCATCAACGCTCGCATCTTCGTTTTGACCGCGGCTTTATATAGTCGTCTGATATAGTGGGAAAACTCCCCCCCCCCAACTTTATAGAGACCATGGAAATTCGAGCAAATGCTACTAAAATTTCGCATTCTTCGTTCGCATGTCATATCTCTTTTAACTTCCACGTTTGTCTCTTATAATTTACCTGAAAATCTGCTAAAGTCACTTAGAAATTATTTACTCATGAACAAATATTGGGGAGAGGAAGGGAATAACACCGCCCCAGACCCGCGTGGTTACTATACGCGTCCCTCTTCTCTTGTCTAGCTGCAGTAAGCTTCGGAACTTAAGGTGTCTGTTCAAAGACAAAGGCTGCATCAAATCATTCATGCCTTGTAACGACGAACATGCTCATAATCGAATCCATTGTAACACGTAACACTTGCAGAACTAGTATTGTTCGATGCTGAATTAATATAAACGAGTATTTTTTTATGACATTCAGTATATAGTTCATCATTTCCAGTCTTCCATCCGTCCTGACTGCGTGTAGCTCAGTTGGTAGAGCATCGATCTGGTAACTCGAAGGTCGCGAGTTCAAAACCCAGCCAAAAATTTCTGCTTGCACGCGAGAACAGTTTCTCCGGCATATTACCAAGTGAACAACAACATATAACGAAATATAACCGGTCTATTCCGATCCAGGGCCAGATTATATACGAAGCATACGTTTCCTAAAATTGTTCCTTGATCAATATTGGTGTAACGCGCAGATTAAATTTTCGCATTTATAAAGGTCTATAGTACCACATTGACTATATAAAACATAATGCTTTGTTAAAATTAGATTGTCTTAAAATTAGATTGGTCTGGGATAACAATCGAGTTTGATAAAACTCTCTTCACATAATAAAAGCAACGCTCAAAAATCCGAGTTAAGATTTTGCGAGATTGATCAAATTATTCACTGACACTCTTTGTTTTTTCGAGATTTACTCCGAATTGACAAACTACAGAAATGAAATAAAATAAAATTTACAGTAAAAGCGAGTTTATTTTCGATGGTTTTAGAATTCCTTGTAACAGTTTTCCCACATAATTTACGAGTAAAAGAGCAAATTCTATTCATTCGATGTTTCGCCTTTTGACCAGATGTAACCAGCTTGAGGCAAGCGCATGCGTATTTCGCTCGCGATGCTAATTACATATGCAACTTTGTCACGAAATCAAAAAACGCAAATTTTGAAGAAGATTTTGGATTTTCTATGCCAGATTTGCTACAAAATCTGGCCGATTTGCTCAACAAAATAATACCAAAGGGTCCAAGAGATTCGCCTATATTTTGCTATGGCAAACCTTTTTATTTAAAAAACCCCTCCAAAACACATTTCGTGTTTAACAGACGTAGGGCCGCCCACTCCAAGCGTATTTAAGGGGTTTTTATGTTAATTTAAGAAAATGACCACTTTTAAAGCATGCCGAACGACCATATTGATAATTGAATTTATAAATGATATGTCGCAAAGATTTTTGCTATAGAAATATACTGCTTTCAGACTCTCTGATTTCAAATTTAAGGTCGAATTAGTCTAATTCTTTAATGCTGTTTGCTAGTATCAATGTTCTTCGTATATAACTGATTTCGTATTCATCTCTATAACTCGAGTTCAAATCCTGTAATATGCATTACTCCCCTGCAATTTGACTGTAACAAATATCGAAGGCTTTTTTGGAGAACTGTGGTTTCCTGATTTATCTATCCACTATATGATGGCTTTTATTAGGTTTCTGTATATAGAAAGTTAGTTTAGGGTGTGGAATTGTCACAGCTATCCGGTTATAATAAACTAATAAATTTGTTAAGTTTGGTTTCCTAAGTAACACTGAACCATTAAAGAAAAGTGGCTCTCAATGAACCTCTTTGTCTTGGAAGACTGACAGCTTAGAAGATAGACTAGATGTGCAGTATATAAAATTAGTTTGCTATGATATATAGATAGGTTCCCTCGTGTGGTAAACTAGCTAGCAGCGAATAATCAATGCTCTTACTAGAACTGTCGCCTGTCGATTCTATATAGGAAGAACAGTATATAACTGAAAGCATCATACATTATAGTTTAGAAGTAGCAAAGAAGGGTTTTTGTGTGAGTAACATAACACAAGATTCCTGTTCAAGATTCCTAAAATATACATAATTCAGAACTATGCTAAGACATTTCATCTTCGACTTTGTCAATGGAATAATTTAGACAATATCCTGACCTCGTATTTGCTGGATAAAATTTCAGTCTACCCATTATAAGTCAGTGTTTATATCGTGCTACGCTTTTACCATTTGGCTCCGTGCAACATGCAGCCCTATACGCAGATGAGAAGTGCAATACTACTTTTTGCTGCAACTCATATTCACATAGCAACACGAAAAATACTTTCAAGTAATCATGCCGTTTACTATATTATCTAAAGTTTCCCAAGGGCAAAGAGTCTTACATTAGTAGAAGACAAGCCCTGCATTTTACCGATAGTTTAGAAAGTGCTATCGCGATTTAAAATACGTTTTTAATGGGGCATGGAATTAAGTTTTTTTAAATCTCAAATCGCACCTTAGCTCTGAGACAAATATTATTTTGCTTAATGCCATGCATTATAAACTGCTAGCCTTAATGGCAAATATTTAACGTTTTTACGTTGTATTTAAAAGTTTTCGGCCTTATAGCTCGAAGTTTTAAAGAGTTGTAACTTTTGATTAGCAATATGGAATGAAAATGGCAATATATAGATAGATGTCTTTAAATTACAACGAGCATATTATACATATATATAAGTAAAATATTCCAAGGCTATACCTACTAAACTACAAAATTCTTAGCAAACACTCGTAATTTCTTGCAGTTTACGTTGAGGCACAGATTGGGCTAAACCTTACATAAATCATGGCTTCGTTGCGACCTAATGGACTATTAGTGCGAGCTCAAATCTAACATGTACTACTTTTCATACCTTCGGTTTTGTTAGTATCTTCGTGAGCAGCAATCGGATCTTCAGAGGATTTTTGAAACAATGTCGATTGACGATTTTTGACCAAAAATGACCGAGGCATATCTTTTGCGTTTTGTCTTCGTGCGCGTTACAGCTTGTTTAACTGCGTCAGTGCGTGGCACTAAAATGTCACAAATCAGTCGCGATATGGTTAATTTACTCATACGCCTCAATTTAGCTTGCACGAAAGCCTAATTAACATACAAGAGTTTTTGCCTAACGTGAGCAGCTGGGCCCGGCTTGTAACAAGACAAAAGCATCGCAAAAACACTGAAGTTTAACAAAATAGGCCAGTCATTTTGTATTGAATGCGCACTATAACATATACAGCATATATAACTAGACGCGTACGGCACTTATCAGTTCGAATTGAAAAGATTTTTGCAAAACAAAAAGGACAATTACAGACTCGTCATCAGAGATATGACTGTTTTTTTATTATTATTATTAAAACAACGAAGAATTTGTCGAGAACGTGCTTGAACCGTGCAAGCTTCAATCCCGCTCGGCTCATATACTCGAAACATGCAGGATTAAAACGAATTATTGACGAGTTTCTATATTATAGTGAAGGGTATAAACTTAACCGCGCGATTGTTAGATATTTTCCTCGATATTAAAACTATTTGATATAGGTTTCTGTATATAGTGTCCCATCAGTTTTATTCCTGCGAGGAAAATGCAATATATTGCCGAGCATGTATTTAAAAGCAGTTCGTTCATTAACCAGTTTCAGGCATTTTTGTCGTATCCGAACTTTTTATATTGATTATTGTTTTACTACACTAATGCCAACGGTTTCAAATTCATGTACATCTTGCTTTAATTCACTGTTTCAATCGAACAAATAAACTTACAAAACAAAGGAACACGTATATACAACGCATAAAAGTTTACCGCACAAAAGTTTAGACTTATAAGACTGGCAGGACGGCAAGAAATCACTATAGGCCGCCATATTGTTTTGGCGGGAAAAAATGCAAGTGTTTTAAAAGAGCTTCAATTCATACAAAAAACAACGGATAATTAACAATGCTATAAACCAAATCAAACAAGCGAAAATGAAACACAATGCCCCAAAATTTCCCCTTTCCGGCAGTAAATATAACATTTTGTTACACAATCTTATATTTGTCTGATAGAAGTAAATTTCACAGGCATCGTGGTTGAACGTTTTACATTGTCTGAGGCTAAAAGGGTTTTTACTTCCATTATCGGTACTAACAATCGAGCAATTATTCTAAGACTTCAATTAAGTCATGTCAGTGTTAACACTGTGAATAAATTATATGAGTATAAATGCGAATAAATTATGTATGAATGAAACGAACCTATATTATTGTAACAAAAGTGACCTTCCTTAAAATATCAACTATATTCCTCACATATCTTCTTCTTTGAGAGGATTAACAGCAAAATTACTTGCCAACAGGCAGAAGGAAACAAAAACAACTTTTGTGTTCATTTGACCTCGGTATATAAAAGCCGAATGTGCAAACAGCAAGATATTAATTGTAGTTTAATTGGTCAAATAAACTTTACTGTGTTTGCATGTAGCGACGTGATATATATATAGTTGTTGTAAATATTACATGTAGTCTCAATCTTCCATTATGCAGAAATTATTTATATTAAGAGCATCTGCAGGCCTACAAGTTCAAAAGGAACCGGCAAACTGATTTGTTTAACAAAAAAGAAAGTATAAGTGAAAAATAGGAAATCATTTAGCTCAAGAATGTCGTCTGCACGCGGAAACAAGCTGCCGTATATAGTTTAAGCCGGTCGCATGCATATAATACGATTTTTAGACGGCCGATTTATGGCTTATGATGTATGGTAAAACGACAAACAGCTAGCGGTATGATCTGTGGGCTCATTATTAGAATATTGATTTCAACATGGGCCATCGCTAAACTTTACTACTATTCAACATAAGCCATCGCTAAACTTTACTACTATTCAACATGGGCCATCGCTAAACTTTACTACTATTCAACATAAGCCATCGTTAAACTTTACTACTATTCAACATAAGCCATCACTAAACTTTACTACAATTCAACATAGACCATCGCTAAACTTTACTACTATTCAACATGGCCATCGCTAAACTTTACTACTATTCAACATAGACCATCGCTAAACTTTTTCAACATGGGCCATCGCTAAACTTTGCTACTATTCAACAAGTTAACTCCTCCCAATATATCAGAACTGAAGTCAGAATAGGAACCTTCCAGAAAGTCGACTTCTTGATTTTGCCTATGATTTTGGCGTAACCGTCACCACAGACATCCTGATAATATTAAAAATGGCGGACGTTAAGGGGGTAAATGCCTATCATAACCGCACTGGCTAGGAACATGCATGGCGACAGCATTTTGATGACGAATCATTGCTGTTTGTCTCTATTTTGTGCTGAAGTACCCTATCATACATTCTCGATCCAGTCCCCCGAAACGCATGGAATGCAAAAGTAAATTTAGGCTATAGCCTATAGTCTTAATTTCTTTGAATTCTTAATACGAATACACGATAAAACCGAACGAGGACAGCCCTTTCTTTAAGAAAGCACAATCACGAATGAAACCGGATGATTTTTCTTTTACAGAAAATGCTTTCCAAAATCTTAGCTCCTTTAATTAACATTAAACGTTAAAAACCCCCAGCGAAATAGCACGATAGAGACCCACCACGTTGCAACATTTGACATGACTTTGCGTTCTCGTTGATTACTTTTTAATGGCATCGACCTGATTTTAATTGTTTTCAATTTCATATATGCGAAGTTTACTGATAATCTCAAAATCAAAGTTGTAGACTGTAAACAATTCGTCCCAGCAAGTCGAATAATTACAATGTTGTTGAAATTGAAACTGTTTATAACAGAATAAATATAATACTTATAATTATGCAACTCTGTATTTCATAAGCTGTGATTAATACATATACATGCAGCGTCATCAGTAATGTAAATAATTCGAAATTTATTGCACAAGAATTATTATTCCCTGTGGAGTTTTTTTTAATCTTTAGTCTAGAGATTAAAACAAATCCCGACCTTTTACGCTGAGATTTTGTAAAATTTATTTTGACTCAGAAAATCCCTCATGCTGTGCGAAGTTTCTAAATCTCAAATTTTCTCACAATTTCCGTAACTTCTTTTTTTTATTCCATTTTCCGCTATCAGAAAACGTTAACCCCCACAAAGCCTATTTTCGGCCGTCTCTCTCATAGTACTCAGTAGTTAGTGTCTATATATATATATATATATATATATATATATATATATATATATATATATATATATATATATATATATATATATATATATATATATATATATATATATAGAATATATATACATATATATATATATATATATATATATATATATATATATATATATGTACATATATATATATATATATATATATATATATATATATATATATATATATATATATATATATATATATATATATATATATATATATATATATATATATATACATATATATATATACATATATGTATATATATATATATATATATATATGTATATA